GAGGGGGAGAATGATGAGTAGGACCCTTGTCTCTGTGAAGAGTGAGACAGCCAAAATGGAGCAGAAAAATGGCATTTTCCAAAAAAGCAGCAGCTTTTTTTAATAATATTCCCAATTCCAACCATTTAATTAACAAAAGCCTGGAATTAAAAAACCAAATCCCGCCACTGATTATCCAATCATACAGAGGGGCACGTGGGCCCCACCAGGCCCATAAAGCCCTCTCACGTGGGCCCCACATCACCGTAAGAGAGAATATAATAATGCATTAAAAAAAACAAATAAAAAATAGGGAAAAGCAAATCGGACGGCAAGGAATGTCTCTTGGGACGGGGCGCGGTCGCCGCCGCTCATCGACCCGTCCCTTTCATTCCACGTCGCCTTGAGCTGACGTCATTCTCTCCGCCGACGTGGAGAATTAATCCCTGCATTTTGCCACGTCATTACCCTGACATGTGCAAGACACGTGGTGTATTCTGCGTAATCCTTTCGGACCTCGGGACTAACGCGCCAATGAAGACGTGTCTCGGGGACACGTGGAGTTATGTGACGTGTCGGTCTGACGGTCGTGTCGGACCGGTCGGCTCAGTGGGCCGGTTCCGTCTCTGTCTACGGGGCCTCGGACTTGTGTCCAGGGGGATGGACACGTGGACCCCACCGTTAACCGGTTCTACCGGTCTGTACGGGTGATGCTGCTGCTGCGGCCGAGGTCGTGCTCATCATCATGACTACAAGGGATGGCTCACATGCTCTTAAGGTGCCTATCATTTTTAATCTCTCTCTCTCTCTCTCTCATGGGTCACATGCTCTGAAGGTGTATATGAATTTTAATCTCTCTTTCTCTCTCTACAAGGCTATAATCTATAGATATGATGCAGTTTCTATAAATAATGGACGAACTAATCAACAAATACTACAGAGCTTCCAGAAACATGGGTGAAAAGTCATTTTTAGCACGAAATGGACGGTCTTGATAATATGTTACTTACAATATACACTATTTTTAAAATTTGAATTTTTTTTTTTTATACAATCATGATGGTCAAACCGAGATGGTCGATTTGAAGGTTTTTTAACCCTGAACTATAATTTTCCATTAGATATAAGGTGAGGCTTTACTATTTTGAAACTAACAGTCCAAATGTTAACTTACTAGAATTATTATTTTTAGTTTTTAAAAGTTCTTTATTTTTTCATATTCAAGATCATGTCACAGATTATATATGTCTATAAAAATTGAGTCCAAAAAACCATCTCAAAAATAGATTTATGAATAGGCCCGTATTTCTACATATGCGGGCTTGGCTGCATAAAAACCAGGTCCTATATATATATACTAAATTTTTTATATATTTTTTGGCATTTTAAAATGTCTTATGATATTTCACATTTTGCATTTTTATTTTACTTTTTCTAAAGTATCCCTGATTTGGAACTCCAAATTTTTGAAACGGGAATTTTATCAAACGATTGGTTTGACAGTAAAAGACAAGCTTCAAAACTTGAATAACCAAATAAGGTCAATTTTAAACTGTCAAAACCCAAACGCAAGTGTGTAATGATAAATTTCAATAGCCATTATGATGTCTGACTTGATGTGCTACTTGACAATTTATAAAAGAAAAAAGTTTATATAAGGTTGCAACCTTAAAATGAAATGTTGTTTTAATGTTAAAAAAAACCTTCTAATCGATCCTCTTGACATTGAGATGTACGAAAATGAAAAAACAAAAGTTTTTGGGTCTTAGAAATAGTGAATCTTGCAACACATTATCTAGACCGTCCATTTTCAAGATTTTCATATATTTATAGATCTACTTGATTTTAACCATTTTTTAAACTTAAAATTTTCTAATTAGGTATGAAAATAGATTTTAAGTTAATACTAAGAATTTTTAATAACAAAATTATATGTTATGATAAAGTTTTAAGGTGTGCCTTGATTGAATTGTTTAAGGTTGCATCCTTATGAAAACCTCACCCTTTATAAAAAGAATTATATGCTGTTTAAAATTAAATACAAAAAATTATGGGCAACATCATGCTAAATAGTTCTAACTTTAGGTTTGGCTTGATAAATTTGTTGTAAAAACATCCAAGTATTGAAATAAGAAAAAAATAAATGAAATAAACACAAGACCCCCGCCCCCCAAAAAAATAAAAATAAATCAAGCGTTTAAAACAATCACATAAGGGATGCATCCGTAGGTGTAGAGGGTAAGGTGCACCTTCAAAATTTATCTTGTTATATAATTTTGATGTAAAATGTTCTTAGGATTATCTCAAAATCTATTTTTATATCTAATTATAAAATTTAAAATTTAAAAAATGGTTAAAATCAAGTAGATCTATAAACATATGAAAATGGACGGTGTAGATAATACGTTGTAAAATGCACTATTTTTTGAGACTTAAAATCTTTTTATTTTTCGTAGTCATACATCTCGATGTCGAGATGCTCAATCAAAAGGTTTTTCAACATTAAAACTACCTTTTCCGATGGATTTTTGTGGGGCATCGTAATTCTACATTATAAGGTAGCATCCTTTCATAAACTTTTTCCCTTTAACAACTCTATGCAATGGACGTTTAAGCTGCTAGTAAATTATAATATCTGAGAAACTTAAAATTCCGATTATCTCAAATAATTCCTAAAAAGGTAAATTTTTCAGTACACCCTAATTTGATGTATCATTTCTAAATTCCTGAAAGAAAATTTTAAGGCCCAGTTTAGATAAACCACTGAATACTGAATAATATTATTTGCACCCCTGTCCATTATCGAATTTACAAAGTTTTGTAAAAAGTTTATATAAGGTTGCTATAGAATTAAAGATGCACATAAAAAACCCATTGGAAAGGTTGTTTTAATTTGAAAAACCCTCTAATTGATTATCTTGACATCGAGATGTATGAATAGGAAAAAAAAAACGATTTTGAGTCTTAGAAATAGTGCATCTTACAATACGTTATCTAGACCGTCCATTTTCAATATTTCTATAGGTTTATAGGATCTACTTGATTT